TAAAATATTTCTGTCTCCCATCCATTTAAAAATTTCAAGTGTTGGTTTTTTTGTCTCATTTTAAATTCCCATATATTACTTTTTTTTTGTACTTGTTTTCTTTTGAGCAGGTCCTCATTTGTCTAATTCTATCTTTGATGTGGATGAGAATACCCAATTAGAGCCCTGGAGAGAGGACTTGATGAAGACTGCTTGCTGTGCAAATATGAGGGCCTGAATTTGACTCTCAACACCAAGGTGAAAACCTCATCCTGCACCTGAAATCCCAGCACTGTGTGGAAGTGGAGGCAGTTGGGTTCTCCTGGCTGCCAGCTAGCTCTAGGTTCAGTGAAAAACCCTATTTCAAGGCAGCATGGTGGAGGGTGGTGCAGGAAGATACCCGATGTCCTCCTCTGGCTTCTGTGGGCTCATTTGCCCACATACATGTGCATGTACACGCACATGTGTGCAAGTACCCACATACAAGTGTGAGGGTGAACATATAGAACCCCTACTTAGATGTCTCATGAAACTGAGTTCCAAGTTGACAAGGGAGGTAACATGAAAAAGCTGGGAGGGCTGCTAAGCTCTTCTTGGGGGTAATGCAACATCTGTGGCTAGGTCTGCTCCTCCCCCCATCTTTTTTCTTTTATTATAGCTTCCTGTCTGTAAGGGGACTTCCTATAGCCTCCGCAAAGTATTAGACCCGATAGAGGTGCAGGGGATACAGTACTCCTGGGCTCAAGATCAGTGAATTGGCAGTAGTACTCTTTGCTCTTTGGTGATGGTGGATGGGAGGGGAAATCTAAGCAGTATTCCTTCTCCCTCAGGTCCTCAGTGAGGATGAACCCCAGTTCCCACAGCAGTAATCTCTTCCATTTCCCAGGTCTCCTAAATCGGCATTTCTTCTGGTTGCCTCTTAATATAAACAGCTGGTGTGTAGATTTTTATTTCAAGGTCAGCTTCTGATAAATTAAACTTGGTGTTTTTGTTATTTCCAGGTGTTTATGTTCATTTAGTTCACCAATTTATGTATCAGCCACCAAGTCTATGGCTTCATTGCTTAGCCTTAGTGTTATGTGGAACTAAACCTTTGATGCTTTTGACTGACTAGGTTTAATGTATTCCACAGTAATTCTCCAAGAAGTGACTTCCTAAGAATGCTGGCCATATCCATCATCCCATATAACCTGTGTTACTTTTGGAAGGGCCTGCTGATATGGTCAAGCAGAGGGAGACAAAATATTACATTAAGATGATACTGAAGAAAATGGCTTACAGTTGTGAGTGAATAAAGTTCTTCACATTGGCCCTCCCGTTTACTCTGATTTTGTACACAATCACAGGCAATGTTAGGGAAGCCTGCTCTCTCCAAATTGCTGAATGCAGGTGCAAAAGAGGGTGTGCTCTTTGTAGAAAGGCAGGCCACAAGTGAAGGAGGAAGGGGCTAAGGCACAGGTACCTGGTTCCTGGTCTCCAAGTTCACAGTTAGAAAATGCATCCATCTCCCTTGTAGGAGAAAGGGGCAGATAAAGCAACCATGTTAAGTAATGGGTTTTTCTTTCTCATGCAAGGGAGTCTGTCTTCTTTCCAACACTCTTTATCTTTGTTATCTGTGCACTAGGTTTAACCATTAACTTCAATACCAAACATGGGTGAGTCTATCTTTTCAAGCAAGAGATCATTCTACCAGGACACTGCATACCCTTACCATACTCCTACATGAATGGTGTCCCCTCATTGTAGATCCCAACCTAGGATCAAATTTCATCACTGTCCCGCCTAGTTTCTTTCTTTCTTTTCTTTCTTCCTCTCTCTCCTTCATTTTGAGTCTTAGTTCCAAAACTTTCTCAGGTCTCATGTCTCTCTCTGTCTTTGATTGCACTGACACCTGCTAATGCTGTTCTTGGAACAGAATTTGGGTCCTTCATGAGAGCAGCAAATGCTCTTTACTACTGAACCATCTCCTCAATGTCTCTGGCTTTTGACAGTCCTATTTATCCAGGCTATCCTTGAATTTGTGACTCTCCTGCCTCAGTCTTCTGAGTGCTGGGATTGTTAGGTATGCCTCCACTTATTCTACAAAAAGTTCTCCAATGGTACTTGGCAAGGAGGGAGTCTCTGCAGCTCTGACAGTTCTTGGCCAGTATTTGCCTATATTCCTGGCCCCTCAAAATCACTGTGATTCTCGGGATTTTGCTTCTATTATTAGATTTTATTGGGTCTAAGTTACTCCTTTGATCCTTAAATAGACCCATCTATTCCCCTTGCCCAAGCCAAGGGGGACTTCAATGCCAAGCACTCCTCCCTGTTTCCTGAAGCTTCACTTTCTCTTTCACACATGATTTTTCCCAAGGCATCATTTTCCTCCGTCCCAAAGCATTATCCTTAAGCTTGCTATTCTTGGTTCATTTGTGAACATACATCCAGTTGCTTCTGTCCTAAGCTGGAGAACACTCTAGAGAACAGCCCAGACACATGGATTTCCTCAACAAATCTGTTTGCTAGAGACACTGTTCTAGGATCAGGAGAACACTTGTCTTTTACTTAGGCATTTTATAATGCCTAAGTAAATGTATGCTTGCTTTTCATGAGAAGCCTACAGGGTTATCCATCTGCAGAGTGTGATGTGTGGGCATCTAAGGATACAGTGTGAGCGATGTAATTACAATTCCAGACAATGTCTTACCATACAGACCGGCATTAACCAGGGAAGCCTCAAACCTCACAACCCAGAACCCAGCATTGTATAGCATACTTGGTATGCATGGGCCTCACTTAGAAAGAACAGAGTTAGAAAACTACTTCTGAACAACCTTTAAAGCACATATGTAGGCAAAAATTACTACGGTACTACAAATGACAGATGAAAAACAGAAGAGGAACTGTATGATAGCTGACAGCATTGAATGAGTGGAATGTGATCTCACTGTGCCCAGGTTGACCTCAGCCTCCTGAGCAGCTACACTACTGGCACACATTATGTTGTCACTGAACAATTTTGACTTCTCTACTAATGGCACACTAGATATTGTGTGCCTGATGTAATATAGTAGGAGGCACTCAATACTTCCTACTAAGTAATCTTGCAAACCCTTTTTGTATTCAGATTTAATGACACCTTTAGATCTAATAACTAGCGGGACAAATGAGTGATAGAGCATATTCAATCCTACCGCTTAAAGCATCTCCATTCCAACAGCAGGACAAAGGATCCAGTTAGTATGCAGTAGCACTTAAAGAGGCAATATGGGGTGGGGAGAGAGCTTAGTTGGAAGTACTTGCCGTGCGTGATGTGTTTTACCCCTGTGGCCCACACAGGGCCAGGCATGGTGGTTCATGTTTGTAAGCCTGTCCACAGGGAGGTGGACACAGAGGACCCATGAGGCTTGCTTGCTAGTCATCAGCTTAGATGAACTGATGAGTCCCCCAGGGCCTTATCTTACCTCAAATAAGTCAGGTTGATGGCTCCTGGGGAATGATACCCTCCAGCTTTAGTTGTAGCCTACACAGGCACTTCAAAGGCACACCCGAATCCCTCCCTGCCTCCGCCATGAGGAATCACAGCAACCAAATGCAATTTACTGGTTTCACTTGAGGCCTGATTAAGCAAACCTAGTGTAAAAATGCTATTTTAAAACCTTTTAATTTCAGACTTAGAGGGGTTGATACTAACACATTTTTCCATAAATTCATCATGCTGTAATATCCCCCATACATATACTTTATCATTCTTTTTCTACACCCAAGTAAATTTTCCAAGTGTAAGATGCAAACAAATTGCTTCTTCATCCTTAAATATTTAGTAGGGGAATTTCCTAAATACAAGAACATTCTCAAACATGACAGTGCAGTCACTAAAATCTGTAAATTAACAGCAATGTTGTGATGGTTAACACTGTCAGCACTTCATAGGATCTAGAGTTCCTAGGAGACAACCCTCTGGGACACCTGGGAGGAACTTTCTAGATTTGATTGAGGTAGGAGAATCCACTGTGTGTGTGTGTGTGTGAGAGAGAGAGAGAGAGAGAGAGAGAGAGAGAGAGAGAGAGAGAGAGAGAGAGCGAGGCACCATTACATGGGCTGGAGTCCCATGTAAAGTAAAAAGAAAAAGTGTTCCTCACCACCTGCAACAGGCAACTACCTCTTGCCATTGCTACTGTGCCTTCTCTGCCTTGTGGGCTGTTCCCCAGAACAGTGATCCTAAATAAATCCCCTTTCCCTTAAGTTGATTTTTGCCAGGCTTTGGCCACAGCAAGAACAGCAACTAAAGCAAATCCTGTACTGTTTGAAGCACCTGCTAAATATTTCCAATGGTTCCCGGCCTTATTTCCTGTTCCTGCATACAAGCCACCCATCACCCTATCTTTGCCCTCCTTAACATGGACTAGTAGATAGGCTTTTGCTTTTTTATGACCTTGGCATTTTTATAAGAGTAAAGACCAATTTACCTTGCAGATTGTCACTTAACTTAGGTTTGACTGGGGTTTATTAATATCTGGGTTATCTAGGCTATTCATTTCTAGCTGAAATCTACAAGAGTGATGTTTGAGTGCATCTTAGTAGAGGTCATATCGCCTGTCTCACAGCTGGTACTACTACGAGAAGACATTTTTGAGACCATGTGGGAAAACTAAAAATGAAAAGTTCCTTTTAACTTCACTAGGTGTTGTAGTGTCACTGCAGTTATGTTCCTAGGGTACTTATCCTTGTTACTATTGTTATTGTAATGTATATTACAGGTAAGCATACATTATTACATATATATTGTGAGGAAGCATGAGCTTAATTACACCGTGTCCATTTCTATGGAGTTGTAACCCAGGAAAACAGTAACTGTACAATCAGTTTGGGTTATTTTTATAGTTTAATTTGTGCATTGCTCAGATTTTTGACCATCTTTCTTTGCTTCTGTGGGTCTTCTTTGAACTATTACAACGATAGGTTAAAGATTTATTACATAAATCACACTGAAATGTGTGACTTGTAGGTGACAGAGGCCTGTGGGAAGACTGGAATGGTTAAAATCAGGTTTATATATTTGAATGCTTATTTGTAACTTCCTTGTTTTCCTTACTGTAGATAATCATGAGTTTATGAAATAAAATCATTTATGATAACCACGATAATTTCCCAGTCCAAATATAAAAATGTCATATTTTTCTTCTTTATTTCTTGAGAAAAGGTTCATTAAGAACAAGCACAATTTCTCCAGTGAATAATGCTTTGATGATAATCAAATCTGAGCTCTTCTTTCCTCTCTGCCCCATAGGAGAAAACCATGCACCAGAGTTTCTCCTACTTTTCTAGGCATTCCTGGAGTAGCAGCTGGTTCAAAACACTGCTTCGTTTCAAAGCACACAGTTTGGATGTGTCTTCACTGATGACAGGAACATTTTCATTGTGCTGCTGATCTGTTAGGTCGCTTTCACTGTCAGACAGTGTGCACAGGAGAGTGTCATTCTCATAGGTGGGAAAATAATACCTGAAAGCAACCACAGATATACCAAATAACCACATGAGGGAAGTTCCCAGGAAATGTCTAAGCAGCCCAGTGCACACCATGCTAGCTTCACCACATCCTGAGTGTATACCGTGCCAACTTTGCCATGTCCCCTTACCAACACTTTGACAGCCTCAAAGGCTGTGCTGGGAGACAGCCTTGTTGCTTGCCCCAACCCTTTCTGTCTGACAGGAGCCTGATGGCCTCTGGTCTCGCTAGCAGGCCAAGCAGCTCAGTATCTATCATGGTAAGAAACACCATCAGTACAGGCTCAAAATGGTTATTTATTTTTCAAAAGTAAAATTTCACACACCCAACAAGAGCAAAGCGATTACTAGTTCCTTCATCTCTAATCTGTGTAAGAACCAAGAACAGAGCAGCAGTTCAACAGACAGTTACCTTTGGCCCTTGTTTATGATGTTTTCCAATAAGGAAAACTACAGTGATTTGGCTAGGGCTTTGTGAAGGCCTCGTTTAATGTTCTCTGAGGATGGAGAAATGTTTAGGCAGCTCCCGCCACTGACTTTAACAAGGATGTTATGAGAACCATCACAGAAGGGTTAGACTGGCAATAATACTTGGGAAATTTGATAGCACTTATTTCAATAGGTTCGTATCAGAGGACAACTGCTTAATGTTTTTAAAGTGTCAATTTGGCAAATGTACACCAGATGCTCCATGATGTACATGTCATTGACATAGTAATTTTTATCTAAATGACATAATTAGATGAGTGTACAAATACAGCCACGTGTGCTATTTATTCATTATTATTTATAATAGCAAAAGGTAAGGAATAACCTAACACATTAGGATATATTCAATGGGACAGCCATTAAAAAAGATAGACAGATAAGCATCAGATAGGGAAAGGTGCTTAGAATGTTTTGTTAATAAAGTATTATTTAAACATCTGTATCTACCACTATTCTGAACCATAGTTTTGCATGACTATCCAATTCAAATGCCAAAATAATGGTTTCATGTGCTTCTAAGTTATATAAACTTTGGAAACTCATAACTTACAGTTGGCTTCATATGTGTTTATTAGTTTAAAGAAGTTAAATAAAATAGAGAGACACAATAAAGAGGACAGGGGACAGAAGTCCAGTTCAGCCAGACTTACTCCAGTTGGTCCCAGGTTTTTCTGTCAGGAAGTAGTGAGGTGTGTTTAGCTTCTTCCATGTGAGCCCTCAAGTCTGTTTTGGACTTGAACTTCTCATGGCAACCATAGCACCTGCACTGGTGAACTTGCCTCCGAATGAAATTGACCAGCTTCACTTGCTGATAGAAATTTAACCCTGAAAACCATCAGACAATCCAGCATTATTTCTGCATTGTCTAATTCATTTTAAACAGATACAGAAAAGCTTGAAAATTCATGTCATATCATATGATGTCTTAAGATCCATATATTCTATAATATATATGATTTCTATGTAGAAGACATTAATACTCTTTTGTTATAATTTCTTGCAGGAGACAACTGTCCTAATTAACCAACCTGAGAAGCTGGGACAATTATAATACAATAATGGGGCATCAGGATAGGGCTTGTCCACTGTGCTCTAAGCAAACCACTGTCCACATCTTAATACATTTAAACTAACAAGTCATCAGCATGTCAATGTTACTTATTTGGAAACCCTTCAAGATTTTGCATCTGGGAAGTAGTAGAGCCATGGTCTGACAGCAGGTGGGTGGTCCCACAGCCTACCATCTTGACCACTGAATTGTGTGTGTGTGTGTGTAACATATATGAATGTCTACAGTCTTAGTGAACCAAAGGCACATATCCAGGAGCTCAGCAAAGTCACCAGTGTGCTGGAAGGGGAGATGGAGCTTTTCAATACAGTGGACCCAGTAGGAAACCACTAATTTATGTTTCATCATCTCTAACCCTTCCAAGGCAGTCATCTCGACTAATATTCTGCCAAGCACTGCAGTGTGAATTTTCGTACACACCAATTCACTATTTTCTGCCCTGGGTCCTAGTGTCATATACACTGTAAATGCTATATACACTGTAAATGCTGAAGTTTGAAACTACTGTCATCTAATTTAAAGAATCTGAGCTCTTGGCTGGGTGGGCGGTGGTAGCACACACCTTTCATCCCAGCATTCAGGAGGCAGAGGCAGGCAGATCGCTGTGAGTTTGAAGCCAGCCTCATTTACCTGGCAGGTTCTAGGCCAGCCAGAGCTGAACAGTGAATGAAGCACTGTCTCTAAAACAAAACAAATAAATAAATTATAATAAAAAAACCCAAGCCCCCACAAACCCATGCTCTTTCTGCTAGCCTATTTTTGCAATTTATTAAAGCACTCATACACACGTAGGAGAATGGAAGAAAGTATGTGACATCAAAGACAATAAATCTTTGAAGATTAGAATACAAAATCATTGCTTTATTAAGTTTTCGTAAGTTTCTGCGCAGAGAATTAATTATATTGTGACCGCAGCTCCCCAGGCACTGCAACAGGATATGGGTGCCATTTATAGGACACTTCATAAAAGTGCAGTGTCACAGAAAACAACTCCCAACCAAACTTACCGAGCTCTGACTTTATTCTGAGGAGATCAAACTCATGTGTGTCCTAAAAAAAGGGATGGAATATATCTGTAAGCATATGAATTCTTTAATCTTTCCCGCTGATGGTATAAACAGACATCTGACTCACAGGGGCTTAAGTATGCTGGAAGCAGTCTGAGTTCATCTTCTTCTGCTTTTGAAACCTTCTAATTCTAACTACTTCCCTTTCTGGTCAGCAGTTCTTAAAAGCTCAACCCAACACATCAATCAGTTAAAGCATTTTAATTAGTTATAGCTTATTGATGAAGTTTTTAGTTTATCATGCATGAAATGTCTGGCCTGATAAAAGTGTGTTGATAAGTTGTGTTTGTAATATGCAGGGCATCTGGACCATAATTCCAGAACTGGGTGTTAGAGACGTTTTGCAAGTGACGTTTTGCACATTCAGGCTCCCTCTCCCCTGCTTTGGTACAGAAAGTTACTGTATTATGTTTGCCCCCTTTCTCCAGTTGTCTGTATAAATGTTCAAACTTACAAGCTCACAGAAGAAAACATGTAGCTCACTGTGGCAGCATTTTGTGCAGTACCACTGGATGTAGGATTCTCAGGAATTCATGACATGCTACCACCAAGAATGACTGAGCAGGGTCAATGAGCTCTCTGGGGACACCAGAAAGGTCACTCCTACATGGTGAAATATCTATAGATCTACAGGTCTCCACCCTAGTGGTATTATAACTATTATAATTCCTAACGTATTACAAACAGATTCATAAGGATATATGCCTATCATATTTCTACGTTTGTCTAGGTCCTTATTTTGCTCAACTAAGAACAGTATTTTTGAATGAGGAGTCGTCGAGATGAGTGAAGATGAGGTGCCAACTAGACAGATGCAGTTCAGAAGACAGGGAGAGAATGTCAGAACTCCTCAGAAATATCCTGTTATTATCATTCCCAAGTTGTGGTGCTGTCACATGTCATTACATATGTGACCCAGCATTCAGTCAAGGGTTACAGTTACATACAGGGAGTATGTGTAGGGTATACTGAGGTACTAAAGGTTCAGAATTAGCAGTGTCAAGCTTCACCTTAATATAAACATGATACCCAGAGGGAATGTGCCTACATTTCTTCTTTCTAACTATTGGTTCCTGAAGTGGCGCTAAACTCAAATTATGTCCAGTTTCACTTGCCTTTATGAATACAAAGTTTTCTGTTCTTTCTATCCTACTCAATGGTACAAAAAGCCAGAGAAGAATCCACAATATTTGGGTATTGCAATGGTGGCTGCAGATCTCAGCTTCTGAGCTTGAGTTACCAGATGAGCTGCTCGAAGGTGGCAACCTAAGCTAGTGGCCACTCACAGGTCCCACTGTCCACCCTCGTACTGCCCCATGCTTGTCCTCCTGGATGGACCTGCCCTGACTCTTCTGTTTGTCCAGTGCACTTTCAGGGATGGAATAATGATTGGAGGATGTGTGCTTAGTTTCCTGCCTGTCTCCATGCTGAGATTAGCATAGCCTGACAAAAGCAAAACGGGGGGGGGGGGGGGGGGGGGAGGAGGGGGAGAACCTTCAGGGAGAAAGGATGAAGCAGAGAGTGCCAGATACTGTTGCTCGGTTCTCTTCCTCCTGAGTTTGGAATCCAGTCCATGGAATGATTGTAGTCCACATTAGGAGGAAACATTCTACCTAAATGAACCTAGTCAAGAAAAGCCCTCAAGGATGCCCAAAGGCTCCTTCTAGGAGCTTCTAGGTCCTGTCAAATTGACAATCAACATAAACCACCACAGCAAGTAAATGAGGGTTCAATGATCACCAGTTTAGCACTGTCAGAATGAAACAAAATCAAGGAGATAAGAGCATCTCACCTTCATGTGCACATACAATTTGTCTATTGTTTCTTCTTGCTTTTCACAAAATAGACAGACAGCACAGACAGGGTACTCTTGCCAATCAGACCAGTCACTAGGTTAAAGACAGAAGACAGAGAACATGGTGAAACACTTTTCCCCTGGAGGGTGCACCACACAGTGAGGTGTATTAGTGTCTCTTTCTTAGCAAATGCCACAAACTTTGAGTCTGACATTTTGGTAAAGACTGCCACATAACATTATGACTTTCAGATACAGTGCCTGAAATTCCAGGAAGTATCATGAGGTGACTAGAAAGAGCCAGTAGGTGCTGCCCCACTTTCTCTATTTGCTGCTCGTCTGAACAGTGATTTAAGAATGGAATTGTGTGGTATTTTCCAGAGAAAAAGCAGTTTAATTAAGGAGGACACCTATCTAGAGATGGGATGCTATTTCATTAGCCAAAAGCACTAAATGCACACGATGTGAACTGAAATGCTAGTGCTGGGATGCAACAGGATGGGTAAGCTATTCATGCATTTTTTGTTTTTTGTTTTTCTTTTACAAATGCTAAACATGTATTTCAGTTGGTAATCACTGATTTTTTTTTTTTTTTTTTTTTTTTTTTTTGGTTTTTCAAGACACGGTTTCTCTGTATTGCTTTGGAACCTGTCCTGGTACTCGTACTGTAGACCAGACTGGCCTTGAACTCACAGAGATCTGCCTGCCTCTGCCTTCTGAGTGCTGGGATTCAAGGTGTGCACCACCAATGCCCAGCCACTGATTATCTTAAATGGGGCAATGTTACATCTTGTAGTAGAAAAATGACTTGAAGGGCATATGGGGATGGAGAGATCGAGTGCTTGACTCACAATTTTGTGGACTAGAGGTGACAAGCCGGTACTTACAGCTGTAGTGATAAGGAAAGTAAGGAAGCGGACTATGTACACTACAGTGCTGAAACATGGCTTCTGAACCTTGCAGTGTACTTTCATGTACTCAAATCTCTGTAGCCAATGTGTACTTATGTATCCCCAGCTGGCTGCAAGAAGGGCTATGGAAGTCTTTATTTACATGGCATATGGCATGCTGATGGTCATCAGGTTTTATATTGCTAAGGAAGAAGCAGTAAATGGGCACAAAGAGACAATGGGAAATCTCTGTCACAGAGTGTATGGAATTGAAGTCTCGTTCAGTGCCATCACTTTCTAACTGTAACCTGAGACAATCTGTCTAACCTGCCTGCAGCATAGCTCACTACCAGATTCAAATAGTACCACTTCACAGGGACAGATATAAGGACCAAGTAGTAAACTGGCTAACACTGTATTAGTACATATAATCATCACTCAAAGGATGAATTTATTTTCCTTATCCAAATTCCCTTTGATGATAATTTCATGTATGTATGTAGGAAAGAATATGAAGAAATTAGATTTCTGGCTTCACTGTTAGGGTATCTTCAGCAGGTTTCTATCCAAGATGCTGACAATATATATCTGTGTGCTTGACATAATTACTGTGGTTGTATGTCTTTCTCTCTGTACAAAAAATGTAGAAAGTGTCTCTCAAAAGCATCTTCAGTGATTTTTATGTGAAAATTACTTTAATTTTAAACCTCGCCATTTCATGAAAGGATGCATGGCTCAAAGAGACTTTGCTTTTATTCTCTCTCTTTGGAATGATAATTATAGACCAAATTAAAGAATTGTGTGCTTATTCATCAACACTGTGATTAACCAGCAGCAGAGACACGCCTTACTCTTCAGGAAGGTCCAGCAACTCGCGGTCGTCTTCCATCTGTACCTCTTCCCATGATTTCCCGAGTTCCTTTGCAGGAAGAGCAGAGGGTTCAGAGAGATTAAGAACAGGTGAAGAAAAATGAGACGACAGACTCAGAACTTAAGTACTAGCATCCCTAAAACAAACTCCCTCAGATGTTTTGAAGCAGCACAAATCAGGTATACATAAAAAGCTCACTGTCCTGATTGAGATGGATAAATCATAAATTGCTAAAAACTAAAAGAGCAAAAATATTGTTTTTGGTGATACAGCAACAGGCTTTCAATCATGCCTGTCCTGCCCCCTTTAATTTTAACTCACTGGTTTTCAACCCTGGATATATATTAGAATCACTTCAAGAGCTGTATTTTTTTTTTTTTTTTTTTTTAAAGCCACCAAGAACGCCTGGGAAAGACTCTGAAATCCTCCTAACAATGTGTCCCAGCCTTTGACATTGCAAAGTGATGTTATCATCTACAGAGTTCACTCTTGAGAACTACACAAGTTGAAACCTCCCCCCCCCCAAAAAAAAAACATTAACCACCAACATTGTCAGCACCCGAAGCTGAGGAAATGGCTCAGTGGATAATGTATGTACCGCACAAGGGTGAACATTAGACTTTGGATCCCCAGAACCCACGTAGATGCCAGGGGCACATGAAAGTTACCTGCAATCCTGGCACTTGGGAAGCCAGCTGGCTAGCAAGACTAGCTACAGTTGGTGACTCCTGGGTTCAGTGAGAAATCGTTCCAGTGAATAAAGTAGAGAGTGATGGAGGAGGACACTCCTCCATCAACTCCAGGCATCTGCATGTGTGTGCACGAGCCCTCATGCACAGTATACACATATATCCCTCCCATCAAACAACAGCACCAACAAACTGCCTCTCTCCCTCCTTTCTCTCTTTCTGTGCCACATATGTGCGCGCATGCGTGCGCACACACACACACACACACACAATGTTGTAAGGAAATTTATGACTTCTATTGGCTGCTCTCGCAGCTGCCCTTGGCGGAGGTTGGATACACTTGCATGGATTGTTTCCATTCTTGTTCACTTATAGCTTCTTCCTCAGGCACCAGTCACAGTGATCTCCCTAAAGAGCAGTTCTCTGTATATAGAAACCTGCTCAGGGCTGCCCATCACAGTCAGAACACAACCTGGAGGTCCTACCGTGGCTTGTGAACTTTTGTTCCTCACCTGGCACCTTCTGCATCCTTATTTCCCTATGCCCCCTTTCTTCCTTAGGATGTTCCAGTCAGTCTGGGATTCCTGCTGGACCCTCAACATAGCACACTTGCTTCCACCAGCTGCTTTCAGTCCTGAATGTTCTGCCTGAAATGCTGACACTCTGCTTCAACACAACCACTCAGTCTTCCTCTCAGTGGTCTGTCCAAAATAAGACGCTTCCAATAAAAAAGGTGTCTCTGGGCATGGCATAGCCATTGCTTCTGGGGACTCACTGTACATGTGGTTATCTGCACAAAGCTAGCACACTATTGAGCCCCTCAACATTTCATCATGGATGCTGGAAGGGCCCATCAGGCCCCACCGTGACTAAGGCAACTGCTGTTGGCGGAGGAGCTATGATTTTCTTCTGGTGAAGCCACTGACAAGTTACCCTTGCTCCAGTAAATGACCTCTCATCCATGCTCAGGCAAGAAACTCTAAACTCATTGGTCATTTAGAAAAAGCAGACGTGAAAGTACAGGGTAGGGAGATTTGACAAGAAGGATGGGTACAAGGGGAAGAGAGGAGGCGAGAGAAGAATGGAGTATGTGAAATGACTAAAGTTCATTATATAAATATGTGAAGCCCAAACAATAAAAAATAAAAATAATAACACTTCTGTCCCAAGTTCCAAGCTACTTTATAGCCATCCCTCCATGTATTGGAGGTATTCCAAGTACTGCTATGCCTATGGGCATGTCTTTTTGTTTGCTAGTCATCTCCTCCCCTTCAGTGTCTAAGGAGAGAGACAAGGCCTTTGTCCCTGGTTACATTTTCTGATTCTGCCCACAAACTTCTTCTTTTTTAAATTGTAGCAAAAAAAAAAAAAAAAAAAAAAAAACAAAACAAAAAACAAAAAACAAAATTTGAGGTCAATTTAGATACTACTTTAAAAGGACTTTGTGAGGTAATTAAGCACTGTCTATAAAGCACATGCTGGGTATGAATAGGTATTCAATATCTATTAAGTCCCTTTATCTTTTACAGTTAGAGCATGAATTTCACTTTAAGGGGCCTTTGTGTGGAAAGTCAGTGTCAGTAAAACCCACAGAAGGATGATTAGGATGGTTTATTCTGGTCCAGTCATTTCTATTTTCTCCTTTGAACTGTTTTTCCCTCTTTATGACCTGTCTTCTCATAATCAAATCTGTATACCAAAGTTGATGAGGGCCTGTCACTGGATATCTATCTCTTCAATGAGCTGACACAGGTGTGGTCAAACCTAGCTCGGCTGACTCTATGCATAGCTATGCAGCCAGGCTGCTCTGAGTACAGGCATCCTTTTCATTCAATGCTTTTCTTTCCAAGACTTTCTTAGTTATGGACATGCTTCCCCCCCAAAACAAAGAACTATGTGCAGCATTATATTTTAGAGGGAACAGGAAAATCTATCACTCACCAGCTTAATGAGAGGCTTTGGAGCTGTCATTACTTATCAGCCAAATGATGCATAAACCCAGACATGCTGGGATCTACCATACTGTCATTAAAGACAGTTAATTTGAACTCTCTAATGTACTCTGTAGAGTCATCAGAGACTGTCTGAACCTCATTATAGGGCATCAAGAATGGCCTCAACATTGTTAACAGGATCGCTGCAAGAACTTTTGGTAATGCATTAAAATTTTCATGCCATGCTTGGTCTCTCTGGACTAGGATTCATGGTCATACTTTTATTTCTACAAGGCATTCAAGAAGAGGCCATCTGTGATACGACCAAATGAAATGAATAAACAATGCTTATCAATGTTTTATTTATTAATTCATCTATCTATCTATCTATCTATCTATCTATCTATCTATCTATCTATCTATCTATCTATTCGAGTCAGGGTTTCTCTGTGTAGCTTTGGAGTCTCTGCCTCCAGAGTGCTGGGACTAAAGACATGTACCACCACCGTCCAGTTCAACAATGTTTTGAGTCAAAGAAAAAACTGATCCCCCCCCCCCCCCGTTAGACTTTGTAACTCAAACATAATTTTGCAACTTTCTGAGTGTTCACTATAACCTGAAGCAATTTATCTTCATATACAATTTTTAAAATTTATCAAACGAGAAAAGAGGAAAATTTATTTACATCAGTATATTAGGAAATAAGTAATGTAGACTTGACAGTGGTCTACACTTTCCTAAAGTATTCTACTTAGGGACAAGAGCTAATGGGGGAAAACATGGAAAAAAACAAGCACACGATTTTCTAATTAAGACACTGTGCTAATGAATCATGTCAGGAAAGCTAAGAATACAGAGAAAACAAAGTTTGGAAGGCATGTCTGTAAAGATGTTCAGAACACCCCCTCAAACCCCTGCATCAGATGGCCTGTGAGCAATGAGAGGATGGAGGAATAATGGGAACGATCTCTCTCAAACAAGACCCTCCATCTAGTTTGATCCTTCTGTCCTGTTTTGCCCCCCTCACACACAGAGGAACAGATACATTTTTCACTGGGAAGGATTTAAAGGACTATAACAAAAACTCTTCAGGCCAGTAGCCTACATCTGTTCCACGTGGCTTCATATACTTTAAATAAAATAAAACAGTCCAAATGATAAAGTCACAACAGAAATAGATTCCCTTAGAAAACTCTGGGAATGAGGCTAGAGTGCCTTAGGACCTTGTGCCTGGAGCCCAGTGATGTCAAGCAGTTTGTTGTCCCTGAGGCTGGAGTATCTGACTGTGAAGCTAAGGGAGATTGTGCCTCTTAGCAGTTACTACTATTCACTGAACTCTAGTTGAGGGAGAAACAAGGCAAGATTTGATGTACATGATCTAGACTGTGTAAAGGAGAGTCAATGTGAAGTCTGTTACATTAAAAAAAACTAATGTAAGTTATTAGGTGTAGAAATTTTCACACCCAAGAGGAAGCACAACCCTTGTCAATTTTCTCAGTTTGCAGGGGAGCTGAGAACAGCTTCTTTTCGTCCCTGTTCTTCCCCCTTTGACAACACTGGAGAGCATCTTGCTAGGATATCTAGGATGCTCTGGAGATGCCAGGATTGTTTGTAAAGAACAAGAAGCTTCATGGTAGGTGGTCCTATTACTATTCACATTCCCCACAGACCTGGTCAAATGCTGATTTTGGACAAGCTTCTCATTGAGTGTGCTCACACCGGCCTCATATCCCAGCCTCTGAACTCTGACAGCAGAGATTTAATCAGCCACCCTGTCCTCAAAATGCTTCCTTCTGCCTGTCTTCTGGGGTCTGGAAGGCACTTGAACATTGTGGAGTGCATGAAATAGACAGAAGGGACACATAGCAGACTATTAATATAGCTGTGTCATTTGACCATGTCCCTTGAGGAGTATGACATGAATGTCTCTTATTATTTTGCCTTTGTTTTTTTTAAAAATAAGGCTTTATCATTACTCATCACTTAGTCAAAGTTTTAGAGAATTTATTCTTCATGTTAACAATGTGTTCTTCACATTAAATAGTGTTCATTAATATGTCTAAAATAAGACTATAATGATTCTGAGAAACTGCTGGCTCTAATTTTTCTCTAATGACATATTAATACTATTTGGAACTGTCTCTTATATGCATATCTTAAATATTATTATGCTTTTTCCTTATAACAAGACTCTTTAAGCACCCCTAGGATGTTAAGGATGAGATGTCTGGTGAGTACTACTTAGTTCAGAGCAGACACACATCTCAGGGACTTCATTGCTTTCTTCCATCCCTTTCAAAGGGATGCATCATTTCAAAATTTCTAATGCATTGGAATATATTTTAGTTTTTCCTAATCATTTTCATATTTATTAACCATTTACTTCAATACTTGGGCTAAAAATGGTATGGTTATAGGTGAGAATCATAAAGCAGAGATTAAAGCCAGCTTTATTTTCGAGTTCGTTTCAAGAGAACAAGCAAGGGTGAGCAAACCATCACAATGGCCACAACCATCTGAAGGCTACAACGAAGATACCAGCATTATCTCAACCATGTGAAGAAAGAAAACAGATGCAGTGGATAACTGACTTACACTGGTGATGTGAACCTGTGGAAATGACTTAACCTCACTTTGCCCTAGTCTCCTTGTCTATAGAGTAGGCTTCATACTGGGGATACAGTTAAATGATCTAGTGTATAGGCTCCTGTGATAGTGCCTGGCCCATAGAAAGATCTCCATCAGTTGCTGTCATTTCAAAAGTGGGATATATATCAATATTACCCTCAAGTTATGATTTCATTTTCATTTCATATTTACTAAGACCATTGTATTCTCTTGAGCCAAGAGTTGGTACAGCAAATCTGTGCTTAGTACAATCCATCATGTTCCCCCTGGGGACAGCTGGCACTCATAAACAATTTTAGCTTGACAGCCAGTCACACTATTTGATGCTCAGGGATTGAAGTATCACACTTTTTAAAAATGCCAATAGAATATGAGTGTATGGGCCCTTTGAAGTCTCCCGCCAAGGTAAAGACTCCAGCAATACAGTGTCTAGCTCATTTGCAGCTCTTGCATCTTAGTGTAAAAGAGCCCTGAAGGGAGAACTATTAAATTGCTTAGGTACCTGCTGCAGCAGCTGCATGCCCCAGACAGTGCTGGAGTGCACTCCCTGCTGGAGTGGGCTGGGCCCCGAAGCAGCTTCACTCTAGGAAGTCATGACTGAATGGTTTTAAGAGAAGACTGAAGGACTCAGAGGGTGCCTTTGCCTTTGGCTGGTTGTAAAACATTTGTAGTAAAGCTTGGCGAGTTTCCAGTCAATCTTTAAGCACATGCTAAGTTTACTTCTAGAGGAAAATTTCAGTTTAACACTATATGACTAAGTTAAAACACATTAAAAAGTGCAAGTCAGAGCAGCGATTTCCAACACAAATCATGTTACTGCTTTCTGCCCAATGCATGAAGTGTTGGATAATATCAAATCAGTCTTCCCAAACCAACAGACTTGGGTTTTAATGTACTTACATTGAGAGGGAAAACAGAAACAAAAACAAAACAACCCTTGCTTCAGAAAATATCAGAATCAAAACTCTAACCTTTCATCTTTCTGTAGAATTACTTAGTCATTTTTTAGGTATGGGTAGTATATTTAAGTATATACAATTAAAAAGTTGGAGGATTAATGGCAAGCCTGGTAGCATTCTATAGTCATTATGTTAATCTAAAATCCCCTCCCAGTATTTTAAGTAACCCCAGTGACTTTGTCGCTAACTGAAGACCTCTTCTTGTCCCCCAAAAAAGAATCTATAGCAGGCAGCAAATAGGGTAGGGACTTTGGACTTTAATGCATTTAACATCCTTGGCATGGGCCATCAAAAAACAAACAAACAAACAAACAAACAAACAAAACAAAAAACCAAAAAAAAAAAAAAAAAACCAAAAACAAAACAACAACAACTTGCATAGTAAAATAGAACACTTTCTCTGAAACTTCCCTTAAAAAGAAGCTAACAATGACACAGGTGCACATCTTGAGAATAAGGGGGAGGGTCATTTAGTGGAGAGATGGGAGAAGAGTAAAGAAATTGCTTTTAAAGAATTATCTTGTGTGGCACCTAGCACATCCAATACTCGGTAAATGCTCTTAAAAACAGAAAACACCATTCTCTGGCCTCAAATTGGCCAGAATTGGGGAATGGTTCTTGTTGCTATCAAACTGCATTCAAGAGACAGAGCATTTTTACTATAGACACATATGTCAAACCTAAGACAATACATCAGATTTGCTTTGTAAACCACTGCTAATTCCTTGATAATGCCTATCATTACCTTTAAACTTTTATATGATTCATTCATTATTCAGACTTTAGTTTTTCTGTAGGTAGATTTTGTTTACAGCATTGTAACCAAATTTAAAACTATGAAAAGGCAAGCCTTACCAAGTAATTGATGACATAAAATCGGTCATAGTCTCTGTTTTTTGGGTTGATCCTACGATGCTGCTTTTTCCTCATGTGATCTTTAAGTGTATTTTTGTCTCTGAAGGTCTTCTCACAGTACAAACACTGTAAACTAAAAGAAACACACAGACATTGCTAAACGCATCTCGAATAGTTGTTGCAAGAACCCTGTTTTTTAAATTTAACATTTATTTGTTTGGGTTACACAAAACAAATGAAGGTAATATGGTCCTTCCATCAGTTCCTTCTTCCCTTCATACACTTGGCTTTGTAGAAAGCATGGTATAGTTTCCTTCGTAGTCATCTAAACTTGGCTGTTTAGTTGAAACTGTGGCAAGGATTATTCTGTTTATAGACTGTGACTAATTGCCTCCTATCCCTGTAGCTATACCTTCTCTGCCATGATGGTTGTCATCCCAGGTAACTATAAGCCAAAATAAACACCCTCTTTCTTCCTTAAGATGTGACCTGCCAGGTATTTTGGTCACAGAAATGAGAAAAGAGATTAATATAGATGGTAAGGATACTTTTCATGATATAGCTTAACATGGTGCTTGGCATAAATCATGTATTTTAATGCAAAAAGTTAAAAGCTCACTATAAGGCCATATAATGTAGGCAATATGCACAAATACCAAAAAAAAGTAAGTTCCCACAATGTAAGAAAAAAGTAATTGTCATTTCTTTAACTCTAAATTAATTTATTGAAATAATTTTTAATAATTCATGAGTGTCTAAGATTAAATTATGTTTAGTCTATTTTGTGAAAGAGCACCTACTTGTCCAGTTTCTTCTGTAATGTGCAAAGGAATTCACTGCAGTTTACAATATTGTCTGGCAAACCAATATTGAAAGCATGTTCTCTGGCCATGTGGTTCAACAGAACAGATCTGTGAAGGAATACAAACAATCTCTATTATTTATAAATAATTTCTGAGCAAATCAGGCTAGGAATAGCATTTATATAATAACAACTAATCAGAGCATAAGCAAGTAGTAAATACTGACATAAACACTGAGTCTTGTGAAAATGGATATGCTAAACAATATGTGAACACAAATGTCCATTTTCTGACATTGCAAGGATTAGACTTAGTAGGAGCATCAGGTCCTATTCTTTAAAGTGATTCTGCCTCTGCTTTTCCAACTCATGATGAGAATGGTGGTTAATTTTAGACATTAACTTTACTGGGATAAGGTATACCCAAGAGCTAGGAAAGCATCTGGTGTGTGTGGTGGTGAGGGTGTTTTCACAGAAGACGGGTGTGCATCTGAGTGAACAAGCAGGAAACCTGTGTTGCAATTTAAGAAAAGCAGTGCTCGAGAGAAAGATGCCCTGAGACAGGATTCAAGCAGAGGGGTTTTTCACTAGGAAAAGGGATCATAATAAGGGGAAAGGGGAGAGGGGAAGACAGGAGCAGAAAGAGAGAGGAGAGGAAGGAGGGGGGAAGAAAGGAAGAAGGGAGGGAAGAAGGGAGGGGAGAAATGGGGGTAGAGAGAGAAAGGAAAGGAGAGAGGGAGGGAGAGGGAGAGAAGGGGGCATGGAAAGTGGGCAGGGCCCTTTTAAAGAAGAACATAGTGAATATGCACAGGTGGTGCTCTTAGTGGCAGCAGCTGAGAGTGTATCCTGTCAGAACCCCAAGGACAGGCCAGAGGCCTGGCCATGGCCATGGTGGTGCATGCCTTTAATTCCAGCACTCAGGAGGTAGAGGCAGGTAGATCTCTGTGTGTTTGAGGCCAGTCTGGTCTATAAAGCAAGTGCCAGGATAGGCTCCAAAGCTACACAGAGAAACACTGTCTCAGAAACCAAACAAACAAAAACAGAAAAACCCCAAAGACAGGCCAGTACAGACGCCAGGCAGATGCTACTCACTTGGTTTCTGTTTCCTGGGGTTAAGCCACTATTAATTTCTATCTCTCAAATACTGGAACTCCAGTCTCTCTGGCATTGTACTCCAGCTTACATCAGTGGTCCCAGAACTCTCAGTCTTAAGGCCTTGAAATGAGTTACACTCTGAGCCCCTCTGGTTCTGAGCCTTGTGGATCCACATGCAGCACTTTCTCTAACTTTCAGATGGACCACCAAGTGTGGAATATTTTTTACACTGTGTGAAGATGTGTCCCTTTGATTGGTTTTAATAAAGAGCTGAATGGGCAAAAGCTAGGCAGGAGGGAACAGGCAGGATTTCCAGGGAGAGATAGAATTCTGGGAAGAAAAAGTGGGGATTATGCCATCGAGATGCCAGGGAGACAATGAAGAGGTTGGACATATGGTACAGAGTAGAGCCACATGGCAGAATGTAGGTTAATAAAAACAGGTTAATTTAAGTTATAAGAGCTAGTGAGACAAGCCTAAACTAATGACTAAGATTTCATAATTAATAAGAACTAACTGTGTCAATATTTAGGGGCTGGCAAAGATAGTCCAATAAGAAAACTTGCTACAACTGTGCGGCTACTCAGCCTCTATAAATGTGTGAGGCAGTTCCACTAATAAATCTTCCCAAGCATTCCCTTATCACACAAGTTGGTTCTGTTTTTCTGGAAAATCTTGACTAAAACAATGGAGAAGAAGAGAGGCAACTGGTTAATGCAAGATGGCCTTTTCTGTGACATGACATCTTGGATGTTTCCCTACTACAGTATCACACAGAGACTATGAGCCACCGTTAATAGACCCTGCAAGGGTCATGATAACCTGGAAGTACAATTATTAGCTTGTAGACTAGCTTCTGCACAAAAAGAAACTTGATTCCTAAATTTAAATTTATTTTTAACTTATGTGCAACAATATAATGATGTACATGCTTATTGCTTATAATACAGTATTTTGATACCTTTGTTCTTGAGCTTTTTGTGGTATACAATACATTAGCACTAGGTATAGTTACACTATTGCACAACAGCAGCACACCAAACCTCTTACTGCTATTTAAATATGACTGATCAACTTTTCCTTTCCCACTGCCCTTCGCAGGCACTGGTAGTCAACATTCTATTTTCAACTTCTACAACCTCAACTTTTTTTGGATTCCATATGTGAGTGAGAACATGGAATACTTGTTGTCCTATGTATGGCTCATTCACTTGATATCATGCCTCCCAGGAAGTTAATAACTTTTTATAGAGGTAATAGTATCCTATGGTATATATGTATGACATGAAAATCTTTATTTTTATGACTTAAATAACAAAAAGCATATAGGGCTTTATAATAAAGGGGAGAGTTTTAGGGAATGCATCAATATGTGTATCACTGTCAGACTGTGCATAGTTTAAGTTTATGTACCTTATTTTATTCCTCTTAAGTATTTCCTGCATTTTTTCAAATAAAGCAACCTTTTCTCTATGAATGTTTATTAACATTTTTTGTTCATGATATGGGGGGGTTCATTTATTAATCTGTGGTTAATAAGTCATTGTACCTAATTGTTTAATGATAACTTTTAACTTCAATAAAAAGTATTTGTTGGGTACTTTACAGTGTCAGACCCTATGTTGTAGAAGACTCCAGCTAGAAAGAGACCGGGAACTTCTTACAGGAAGTGGAGTGTGTGGATGGATTGCAGTGGGAATGATGCACTGAGCCAGGAAACTTCCTGTACCCCAAATCCTTGATAGGGTCCAAGGAAAAGAGCCCAAACACAGTTACACATGTCCAGGACTTCCTACAAGGAGCCAAAAATAGCAGCGGCTTAAGGGTAGATAAGTTGGCAGCTTTTCCGTTACCCCAAGTTATGGATCTAAGGTCTCTCTGGTTGTTATGAAGTCTATTGAATGTACCACAGGAGCCCATTCCTCCCTCAATCTATGCAGATTAAAGGCCTGGAGTCTAAGGTCTAAAGTCAGGAGGTGGGACCCACCTAAACCAATGGCTAGTTCAAGGAGTATGTGTGATAAGAGGTATCCCAGGTCCCTATGATCAGTGGCATCTGGAGTTTAAGAGAGTGGACTCAGGGGAGTTGGGGTAGCACTGCTCTTAGTACCAGTTTATAGATTCCACTGGAGCAAGACCCATGCCATTCTGACTCTAAGGTCTTCCTAGTAGGTCTTCCTAACAGTAGCAGGCCTGAGTTGGATCCGCCCAGTGTTTAAACTAACATAAAAGCTTCGAAATGTACACAGATCCAGCAGATGGCTGAACAGCTGCAAGTGTGCTAGAATGCTCCCCATGGTTCTAGCCTTTGCTGTCCACTCTTGAGTATGTTCTTGAGGCCTAGTTCTCCTCTAACTGTCTGGGGCCTGCCAGACAGGCATCTATTGAGAGCGAGGGCATGACAGCACACAGTATGAGCCCCACTATGAAGGGCCAGAAAGCTCGAATAGTTTTCTTTCTCACCACCCTGCTATCTTCCCAAGGTTTCTATGTTTATTTAAGACTTGGGAGAGATTGAATGGCTGCAGACATTTGGAAGAGAAGTTATTATGGTGTTAACAGTCTCCATGTGGCTCTGGATGTTTCTGCAAGAGACTGGTCCATACATAAGAACACTGAATACAGACAAGTACCCTCACCAAAGCAATCAGGATAACCCATGGAGGATTTGGAGAGTGAGATGGACATCTATTTATCTTTTCTTGTCCTTAAGACCCTGAGATACCACTATTGCTGCTACTTGGAGTTCCAGGCCTTTAGATTAGGCCTAAATTCACCACTAGTTTTCTTAGATCTCCAGATTGCAAAATGTGTATTTGTGGAGCTTTCAGTCTCTTCCTAACCTAATTGTATGAACCAAGACCTATAGTCCTATTCTTTCATATATCCCATTGGTACCTGGGTGGTTTGCTAGCTAATGCATATTGGGTGTTAGTCTATGAGCCTGAGCAGGAGGGCCAGGGCAGGCAGGATGCACTGCACTGACTTTTCTAGCCACAAGGGCTAGCCATCAAGGGCAGGGGAGTGTCGGCTTATCTCCCAGATTCTGAGGTTCTTTAAGACCAGCCAAGATGATTCACTAAAACTGTTACTTTAGATTAAGTTCCAATCAATTTAGCTTTAATTTCCAGGAAATTACATGCACAACAACTTTAACTAGTATTTCAGTGTCTTACCTTCTTTATGATGTTAATTTTATCATTAATCACACAACTTTACTATAGGAAGCTATGGAGAAACTTCTGGTTTTTATAATTATTACATTTTCTCATATTCACAATGGTTCTTAAAGGCATGCAATAATTATGACTATATAATTAAAACACTTTAGACAGCAATGAAGTTTTCTTAAAATATTATTTCAAACACTTTCTCTTCTCAATTATTCCTCAGTACGCTTTAGAAGAAAACTTTTCTGTCTCCTTCTCCAGTCTTATCTTCTTTCCCCATTTCATCTCATACATTGTCAGATCTTTCTTTATAGTTCTGTGGTCTGGGCAAATGGGATTAAGTTAGAGGATGGCTGTGCGAGAGGCCCTACCAAATGACGGAGCAAGCTCTAGGTAGCTGCTCCTCCCTGACAGCACTAAGGACAAAACAATTCAATTCTATCAGACTAGAAATGTTCAGAGTGTACTTGTTTAAGAAAGGTGACTGGATGACGGCAGGAGCTGTGAGCTTAGCTGTATCTTAACTGTTCCTCTCCATTTTCCTCTGCAGACCCTCTCTAACTTTCACACTGCAGCCTCCCAGCTGCTAGAGGGGCAGCATGGGAGTGGGCATCCCTAAAGAGTCATTGCCAGCCCTGCCTAGCAGGTGCTGCCCAAGCTCTAATCACAGAGTTCTCAGCTGACTTAGAGAACAAAATCTCACCACCTGAGCATGTGTCCCAAATAACCAATGACTCATTTTTTTTTCCTTTGAAACACTGCAGCTGCTTGAGGAAAGTATCAATTTTGGCAAATATTATATTCGATAAAACACCTCAGACAATCTGGGATGTGCGATATCTTAAGCCTTTTGAGAGTTATGATATAGCCGGGGGTTTCAGAAGACCATATGCAAATGTAAGCCTGTCTGAATACCCAGAAAAGACCCAAGAAGACCACAAAATGGAGGCTAAGACGAGTTATGATTGGATGTAGGGTAGATGTTTGCTGCAATCCAAATAAAAAACCCTTCAATAAAGGGCAGAGATAATGTATTGGACCAAAGCATTTAAGGAAGTTGGAGAATGGCAAACCTGTTTCCATGGAATTCCTCACTGCAAAACATACACACACCATGAAAGCTTGTATCATTTCTCTCTCGCTGTTGCTGATCCAGAATTTCTTTCTGTAAATTATGAAAAGATTTATGACGTTATCTTTAATGTTTGCAATTAGTCACTGAGAAATGCCAGTATGAATGACAGTATGAGAGGACAAAGGTCATGTATGAAAGTTGCTCATACTTCAAGTTTCTTTTTTCTTGTCTTGACATTGAGACTCTAAGTCTAAATCAGTTTTCTCCAAGGGAGTTTCACTGGGAATTTAAACATCACTCAAGGACAGGTCCCAGCCCAGCAGCAGGTGGCCAATAAAAAACTAAATCAAACCAAACCAAATCAACCAAACAAACAAAAAACTGGAGTTTTTTTTTTTTTTTAAATCTCACAATGATTTATACGGACATTAAAAGAAACTATAGATCTTTTGCATATAGAGTATGGTATATGATTTTGTTTTGGTGGGTTTTTCTGTGTTGAGTAAATGTGTGTTTCTCAGCATCTATATGTGTTTCATGTGCTTTTTCTTTGACTTTCCCCCATGTTTGTTTATTTTGCCTTATTTGGGCTGTTTTTCTTTATTATTATTACTATTTTGTTTAGATGCTTGCTTGTATTCTAATGAGAGAGAAAAAGTTTGTGGATTTGAGGAAGTGGGGAAGTGGGGAGGAGTTGGGGGAGAGGAAACTTTAATCAGAATATATTGTATGAAAAAGAATCTATTTTCAGTAAAAAAAAAAAAAAAAAATAAAGAAAGAAAGAACTAGGTATGCACACAGCAGTAGACCACGCTAGTCAGACAGCAATGGATGAAAGTCAAGAGTCAACAAGGGAAGGCCTCTTTCTTCCTGAACCTTCCTTTGGCCCTTTCCTATCTTCACTCTCTCATTAGACCAGAATCTTCTAGTTCATTGATTGATCTTATCCTTAGAAGCTCCATTCAGATTATAATCAAATTCTGATAATTTCATCACTATCTCCAATGCCATTATCCCAAGCCGAGTTTTTATTAAATTATTATTACATTACTATAAACAAATATCAGAGTTACCATGATTGCAATCCTTCTTTTCTGAGACTACCACCAAAGCGATAAAACCATTTGATAAACAGTGCTTTTATGTATAATTACTGTATGGGACTGCAACTGAAACAGTTTTAAATGTTCTGGGTTCTGCGCTAATCAGCTGTCTCTACACATTGTCTTTTTGGTTGGTTTGCTCCTTTGCTTTTTTTCACTTTTACAAACCATTATCTCTGTGATAATGTGTGATTCTGATTTCTTATTGCTACAGAACAGGTGAGAGCACCCAGAGGGGCCCAGGATGATCTAGATTGGGAATCTGAATTTCACCTATAGTCAATATTGTATTTATCTCCATAAGACCTGCTGTAAAGGTACAAATAAAATGCAGTGTCATAGTGGTGTATGCCTGTAATATCAGCACCCAGGAGGCTGAGGCAGGAGGATCTTAAGCTGGGAAGGCCCACAGGGCTACCCAAAGAAGTTCAGGCCAGGTTTGGCTACAGAGCCCAGGTTCAATCCCACAAAACAAAACAAAAAACAAAACAACAACCAGTCTAAACAGAAAACCAAAGTAGTAAAGGCACACAGAAAATATTGTCTCACATTACTGTTGACAAGATTAAATCAAAGAATTTAGCTGGGAATGATGGTGCTTGCCTTCAACCCCAGCACTTTTCAGGCAGAGACAGGTGAATCTCTGTGACTTAAAGGCCAGACAGGTCTACATAGAAAGTTCCAGGTTAGTCAGAAATACATAGTGAGAGGCAATCTCCAAACAAACAAAACAAACAAACAAGCAAACGAACAAAGGATCAGGTAAATTATGTAAGAGTTTAAGCTGTACATTCATCACTAAATGATGAATTTTAAGGTTATTTAGGTCCTATCAGTCCTCACCATAATTGCCATCATCTCTGCTAAGTGCTACTTGTTTTTTCTTCTGAAAAGACATGAAATCTTTTAAGTTTAAAAAAAAGTCATGATGCTTTCTTACATTATATCTACATGCTACATTTACACACTACATTTCCTTATAACATGGGCCTCCAAACAGAACTCCATAAAAGTCATCTCATTCTATAAAAGCTTACAGAACAGCATAAAGTGAGCTGGGGTCTAGATTCAAGAACACAAATACACCAAGAAGCTATCTTGGAAGCCGAGCTCAGCCATTTTGGTGTGTGAGCTTTTGGGAAGCCTTAGACATTAGTGCCAAGCTCTCCCTTCAGACTTAAGAAGCCATCTTAAGGAAAATCAATGCAGTAAGCATCTGGTTTCTGCCATAATGGAATAATGGATACCAAACCTGCCCTGACACGAGAAGCTACAATAAAACTAATTTCTGTATATAGTTTTTCTATTTTCAGGCACTGGATAACAGCATAAAGCTGGGATCTTTGAGAGAAAAAAATTAGCAGTTATTTTCTTCTATCTATCAAACATGACAGATGGACATCAACAGTGGCTAGCTTACTAGACAGAAACCAAAACAAAATACCATATCTCAGAATGCTAAGGCAAATAGAACTTGTAGGATAAGCAAAAAAGAACGAATGCTATGGAGAGGCCCAGGAGTCACGTATTGGGATTCCTCTAATACCTGGTTTAATACCAAGCTACATATGTATAGGACCGTCTTCTGTTAGGTCTGACAGAGGAGTTTCCAAGCTATGAAACTTCAAGGAGCATACAAGTATCAGCACTGGAATACACTGGACTTTTGACAAGGAAAATAGAAATGCTTGACTTCACATTCATGCATATAGCAGATATTTGAAGGGTTGGGTTCCTGATGGCAGCAAGTGGATGCAGATAGAAAAAAAGAAAATGAGTGAGATTAACAGATCAGACAATTAAAAAATTTCTTGAGACAGTTGTTCTATATAGTTCAAGCTGAACTTGAAATCTTGCCTTAGCCTCATATTTGCTGGGGATGCAGGATGCACCACTGAATAGAGCTTTGATTTTTTTTTCAAGTACTTCTTCTTCTTCTTTTTTTCCCCCCTGAGACAGGGTTTCTCTGTGTTGCCCTGAATATCTTGGAACTAGCTCTGTAGACCAGGCTGGCCTAAAACTCACAGAGATCCACCTGCCTCTGCCTCCCAAGTACTGGGATTAAAGGCATGCACCATCAACAATCAACACCTGGTGTTCAAGTACTTCTTACAAAGGTTGAAATTGACAGTCAAAGTAAGAGAGGTACAAAAGAAAACTGACCCTTTGCAAAATTTCAACAAGCATTTCAGCAGCAGCAGCAACACTAACTCAAAGTCTCTAAACTCATGAAAAATCTACACCTTAATGTATATTTCTCATCTGTGACTATATTCATCCCAATTTTGTTGACATTAAAACCTTACTTAGCATAACATTTTCTTCATTTTGGCTGCACACAAATATAAACGATTTTATGAGGCAGTACCTGAGTGATATTAAGTCACCACAGGCTTTCATTGTCTACAATTAATTGTTAGTGGAATCTTAATTGAATAACCAAAAAGTAACTAAAGGAATATGTAAAATAGTTCACAGGATAATAAATTAGAGGCAGCACAAAGTGCCCAAACCAGGCTGTTCTCTCATATTTTGGTTCTGGAACAATCTCATGCCATGGAACACTGTTATCTGCAGTAGTTATAATCACAGTAAGAGAGACTGCATCCAGAGAGGACACAAGGTGTCCTTGGGGATTGCACAGCTTATATAATTGGTAACTATTTACAAGTTAATTTGACTCTCCTTTTGTCCCAAATTTCTTCTTTTATATCTGATTATTTTTAAAGTTTCCCCAGTGTGTATTCATTATACAGAATAATGAGCTCCATTGTGGCCTTTCCATGTATGTATGTAACATACTTGATTGTATTTATCCTTCTTAGTACACTCTTCCCACATTCCTAACAAATTTTCAATCTCCTTTACTCTCTCTGTTGCTCAAACTGTGCTACCTATGTGTCCTATGTGGGTCTTCTTCTTATGTTCTTTAGGCTGGCCTTGAACTCCTGAACTCAACTGATCCTTTGCCTTAGAATCCTGAGTATTTATAGATGAATGCTGCTATGCCTGGCTTTGCCCAAATTCTTTGTAAAATTCTTCCTCAAGAGCTGGAGAGATGGCTTAGGTATTAAAGAGCTCATTTTGCTCTTACAATGAATCTGAATTTTGTTCCCTAAACCTAGGCACAGGAAGGCTCAAAACCTTTTGTAACTCTAGCTCTTGGGGACCCAATGCCCCTGGACTCCCAGAGTCCCCATTTGTGCATGTACACAAATAAGAAACATCAATAACAACAATAAACAGCCCCCTCCCCAAATCAACAATTGTTCAAAAGACTTATTTTTCATGGATTGACATGAATTATTAAACAGTGTGAAAATGGTTAGAACAACAAAAGCAATCTACAGATTCAATACAACCCCAATATGTTCATTAAGCTAGACAAAAACAATCCTAAAATTCCTAAAAGCATGAAAACTGACATGTAGTTAAACTTTTAGCAGAAACAGCTAGACCCATCACAATACCTGATCTCAAATGACACTATAGGGCCATGGTAAGAAAAATTCTGATACTGGCACAAAAATAGACATGTGATTTAATGTAGTAGAATTGAGGACCCAGAAAATAACTCACATATTTACAGCCATCTAATTTTTGACAAAGCTTTTAAAAAACATATATTGCAAAACCACATTTAACAAATGGTGCTGTGAAAATCAGACTTCTTCGTGTAGAAGAATGGACCATCTTTAACCATAATCATCAACTCAATATGGATCAGATTCTTAATGTAAGACACGAAACAGCACAGATGAGCACTTCTGAAAAGGACACCAACCATACACAAAATAACTGCAAAAACTGATATTCAGGATTGCTGGAAACATAAAAACTTCTGTTCAGCAAGAGAAAGGTTCATCAGAGTAAAGAGAAAAGTCTTGACCAAGTGTACTTCAGAGAGGGGACAATAACTATAATATGTAAAGAGGTGCAGAAATTAAATACCAAACCTCTGATTCATCCAACTAATAATGAACCGAA